TTCCTCCTTCTTCTCCATAAAGTAACATTCCTTTCTCTTGTTTGTTGGGCTTGCCTATGGCTTTGCCACAGCTTGTGTGTCATGAGTTGCAAGTCTCTACTATTCCCGAATAAATCCATTTTTGCTGATAAAAACTTACTTTAAAGGTTAACAAGGCCTACTTTCTTACTTCTCCCAGGTGTCTGCCCAGATGTCACTTTATGAAAGAGGCCCTTCTGGCCAGCTGTCCCCAGTACTGCACCCACCCCACCACTCCTTGCGCTCATACTGAATTATGAGAAGAACTGACTCATACTTTCAAGGAGTTTGTTGGGTTGCCCTGGACCATCATTACGTAACCCAGGTATACCAGGGATAAAGCATGACCTTGAAAGGATTCCACCCCCCCCCCCCAAATCCTAGGATCCCTCCCACGATCATCCTTTATGGTCATTGCTTTAAATACAGACTAACCTCAAAAGAGACCCTTCTCATTTAAACCTAGAAAAGGATTTGAGGGATCAAACCAGAACAAGACAGGGGTGCCTGGGTGGCTCAGTCAGTTAAACAAGCAACTTCAGCTCATGTCATGATCTCACAGTTCATAAGTTTCAACCCTGCATCAGGCTCTGTGCTGACGGCTTAGACCCTGGAGCCTACTTCGGATTCTGTGTCTCCTTCTCTCTCTCTACCTCTCCCCTGCTTCCACTCTGTCTCTCTGTCTCAAAAATAAACATTAAAAAAAAAATCACACAGAACAAGACAACTTATCCTTCCCCTTCCCTCCCAAACATAAACTCACAAATATATACCTGCCTGCTTGCCCCATGGGACATAAGCAAATGAAAATGGAGGGAAGGTAGCCAGGGCTGAGGAGTGCTGCTCAGTCTGGACTTTCTGATTCAATCTACGCACTACACTCACAACCCCCTACAGCCTTTTCCTTGCAGCTCACCTTCCCTACCAGCCACCCCCCCTCCGAGCCGTCCATCACCCCAGTTATGCCTGGTTCTGGGAAAACAGGCACTGCTTTCCACGCGCCCCTCAACCCCCAGTGAAATAGTTTAATTTTAAAATAGTCATCCATGTAAAAAGAGCAGTGCTTTTGAGAAATCAGTGTATTGGGCAAGAAGACATTGAATCAGGTGAGCAAAACAGATCAGACGCCTCCCTGTCCTCCCACACCTACTATATTCACCTTTCCTCTGGTTACATCTTGGTTCAGAGACTTGATCCTCCCTGAAATGACCTCTTTATCCAAATTTCCACCTTGTGTGTGTGGGGAGCCAGAACCTCCCACATCCACGGCCAAAGAGTCCCTGATCCTTGCCACCTGAAGTCTACTTTCCAAACTCATCAGAGATTATCAAGAGCAGCCTAGTTCTGGGAAGTTCTCCTAAAAGTGTGAGTGCTGGTCTTTCAAACTTGACACTGAGCTCTTTGAGGATGGTTCTCGACCTTGACTACCATTTGGAATTGTAGCCGGATTCTCACACAGAGAGTCATGACACCGAGGCTTTTCTTTCCAGGAAGCAACTTTATTCCTGCTGGCACCACTCAGTTGGGTTCGTACCCAAAGAACTGAGCCCCAAAGCACTGAGCCCCAAACACCACGTGGTGTAGTTTTTTTTTTTTTTATATATATTTTCGACTTTGTCTCCCATATATGGTAACACACAAACATGTAGTCTGATTAAGTGGTCTCATGTTACAAGATCGTGAGGGATGTTGTCACTTATAGCCAGGTTGCCGTGAGTTTTTGTTTTCCTTTCCTTAGGGAGGGGACCCTACCACAGAATCATCCTGTACCTTTAAGAAATATTGTTGCCTGGGGGCGCCTGGGTGGCTCAGTCGGTTGGGCATCAGACTTCGGCTCAGGTCATGATCTCACAGCTTGTGAGTACGAGCCCCGCATCGGGCTCTATCCTGACAGCCCGGAGCCCGGAGCCCGGTGCCCGGAGCCTACTTTGGATTCTGTCTCCCATTCTCTCTCTGCTCCTCCCTTGCTCATGCTGTGTCCCCCTCCTTCAAAAAGAAATAAACATTAAAAAAAACCAAAAAGAAATATTGTTGCCTGGGTCCTAGCACAGAGATTCTGATGTAATGGACCTGGGGGGTGTGAACAGGCATCAGACTTTTTTTAAACCTCCCCAAGTGGCTTTACTGTGTATCCATATTGAGAACTATCAGCTTTCTAGCTGGGTAGATTTGGATTCTCTTGGGTAGTTTCTTGGATTCTCTTGGGTAGTTTGATTATGGGCTGTCAGTTCCTTTTCAAATAATGGAAAGGGAACTTGCTAATTAACACTTGCCAAAGGCTGCTGAAGCTTCAAAGCCCAAAGCCCTGAGATATTAATAACCTTTGATCTGTAGGGATTTTTAGATCCTTGCTTCTCAGAGTGTGAACCATGGACTCAGAGAACACCAAAACCATCAGGAGCTTGTTAGAAATGCAGAAACTCCAGGGGCACCTGGGTGGCGCACTCGGTTAAGCGTCCAATTCTTGATCTCAGCTCAGGTCATGATCTCATGGTTAGCGAGTTCAAGCCCCCCATCAGGCTCTGCACCGATGTGGCTGTGCCTGCTCTGGATTCTGTCTCTCCTTCTCTCTGACCCTCCCCCACTTGTGCGCTCATGCGCTCGCTCTGTCCCTCTCTCTCAAAATAAACTTTAAAAGAAAAAGAAAGTAATACAGGAACTCCAGCCTCAGCCCAGTCTTGAGAACTGTAAAACTTAGAGCACAAACGATTTTGTCCACCCGCCTCCCCCACTAGGAGACTTGAACAAACACTAGCGTAGTTTCTAGCAGCAGAAGACTGTTTCCCTAGGACAACCCAGCCCTCCCTTGAGTCCCTGCCTAGAAATGTTGAAGGCTGACAAAAGAATATACCATTTGTTTCAGCCAAACACTGACCATAGCCCTCTGCCCTCCCTTTTCTTAAAACCTTCACTTAAAAAAATTTACAACTGTAAATCCTTTCTCTGTCGCTTTGAGATGTCTGTGCATCTCCTGAAACCCAGGAGTGTCTGTTTCAAGGACCCGAGCGTCATCTCTTTGAAACATAACCATCAACACAGATAAGGCTCCGTCTCCCAGTCTCTGTGGGAGAGCAGAAGTCTAACTTGACGATAAGCTAGCCAGTCAGCAGACACAGATAGCCTAATCACATTGACCAATCCCCACCACCCACTTTCAGTAGCTTTCCACTTCTCTGACTCTGCTCAAGCCATTGTTTGTTTCCTGCCTCGCCTCCTCCCCACTACATCCCCCTTTAAAATTCCAGTCTCGGGGTGCCTGGGTGGCTCAGTTGGTTAAGCATCTGACTGAGGCTCAGGTCACGATCTCGTGGATTGTGAGTTCGAGCCCCACATCAGGCTCTGCACTGACAGCTCGGAGCCCAGAGCCTCCTTCAGATTCCGTGTCTCCCTCTCTCTTTGCCCCTCCCTTGCTTGTGCTCTCTCTCAAAAATAAACGTTAAAAAAATTTTTTTTAATAATAAAATAAAATAAAATTCCAGTCTCTGCTCTACCTCTGCACAGAGCCCAGTGGAGCTCAGTCCTACATGGAGGCCTCTCCCCTACTGCAGTGGTCACTGAATAAACCCGTCTTTCCTGCCTTTAACTAGCATCCGGCTTTTCTTTGTCTTCATTCTAACAAGACTCTTAGGTGATCTCCGTGTACATTAGGGTTGGAGAAGCACCGTTTTGCACACATCATCCCCTCAATGACTTCTAGGAACAGCCCTGAATGGCAGGCAGGAGACATGATGCGCACTGCACTAGTGAGGGGGCCAAAGGTCAGAGCTCTGCTCAGTCACCAAGGTCAAGCAGAACGGGAGCCGACTTGGTGACTCAGTCATAAAGCCGCGCCGGTTCGACAGAAGAGCACACTGTACAGGAACACCCGGCAGCGAACAGTTGGGTGAAGGAGTAAGGTTTGTCCTCGTGCGCCCATCCCCGCCGTGTCCTTGCGGGTTCTACTCTTCTTTAGTTGCAAGAGAACTGTGTCAGAATCCTGTGTTTTCTAGACACTGGGGAATTCTCGTCTGAGTGACAGTCTGTGGCTGGGGTCCCAGGAGCACGGCTTCTGGGGGCTGAGTCACTATGCGGACCCTGGTCAAGTACTGAAGGTGTTATCTCGAAGTCTGCAGGAGCCCAGCCCTTCGCAGGCCGTGTGCACACCGTGCTGCCGCTGCTGCGTGAAGTCGGACCCAGGCACGGCCTCAGTCTCGAACCCACTACCTACTCTGCACTCACTGCTGATGCCCTCCTACTTCCCAGCCGCATCTCCGACCCTGTCTCCGTTCTTGCTCTCCTGGGTAAACACTGACTCCCCCCCTCCTGGCCGGTCTGCTCCCTGGTCCCTTCTTCTCTGGATTCCCATCCCCACCTTCCTACTCCAGAGCAGACTTGGTGCCTTGAGCAGCCACCCAGGGCAGAGCCCCCCTCCGGGCTTTTGCTGACCTCATACTTACGTAACAAAGTAATGAATTAAATTATATTTCGGGGCGCCTGGGTGGCTCAGTCGGTTGAGTGTCCAACTTCAGCTCAGGTCATGATCTCACACTCCGTGAGTTCGAGCCCCGCACTGGGCTCTGTGCTGACAGCTCGGAGCCTGGAGCCTGTTTCGGATTCTGTGTCTCCCTCTCTCTCTGCCCCTCCCCTGCTCATGCTCTCTCTCGTCTCAAAAATAAATACAAACATTAAAAATAAAATAAAATAAAATTAAATTAATTAGATTTCATCCTCTCTGGCCCTTCTCCTCTTCATTCACCAAATTAGGCTGAAAGACTATCAGTAGGAAAGCAGCTACCAATTTTAAATACCAAAGTTATTCCCCGAAGGACAGCAAAATCACTAACACGAAGGACAGAATGAATTTCTCTGGTGGTCTGCAAACCTCTTAAGAGCACCGGAACTCGAGGAGCTCCCCCCCCACCACCTTTACCCCCATATACATGGAGAATGCTGATTTTTCATGTTCCATGTTCCACTTGGCACAAATAATTTAAATTCAGCCATCATGACAGTGAATAATTTTATTGTTAGGTTTATCAGAAAGACTTGTATTACAGGCAATTTCTGATAGGTAATTTTATTAGAGCCAGAGATGATCATTTCTTCTAGAAAAACAAACCTCTCAGGTTAGAACGGAAGACAATGAAAAACATAGATTTCACTTTATAATTTACTTTTATCAAGCCACACAGAGCACTTCAATTCCTTTATATGAGTATTACTTTAATGGCGTATAACAGGTCATTAATGGAGAACACACAAGCCCAAAGCCTTTATATCCTGAATCTTTCAGTCAATCAACTTTTCTTAGAATTTTGAAGACATGAAAATAAAAACCACTGTAAATAACAGCACTCACATGCCAGGTACATTTGTGAGGAGGGGCAGCAGTCAACAGTAAGCCTCATATTTTCCAGGTTTCAGCTGAAGTAACTCTCACTGGTTTCTTGGATTTTTATCAATCCTGTTTGGGGGCTGTTTTGCCTTATTGGGCCTAAACGGAGCACAATAGTAAAATACATTAATGATCTCTACTGAGAACATGGCATGAGTGGGTTTCTAACTCTCTAGGGATGTGAGTAGAGCCATTAACACATCCCATGACACAGGTGAGTGCCCCTAGCTATCCCTGAGCTGGGCAATTTCATACAATCACTTTGTCTCTGAGGCCGAAGTCTGTGGTTGGATCTTCCTAGCAGCTTCCAGAACAGAAACCAGGTTTACTTTGTCTCCAAATTCTTTTTCTCGGTGCTCAAGAAGAAGGCCCTGAAAAGAAACAAGAGGAAACATCAGTCCTCACTGTGAGTCACTCGTTCATGACACAGACAACGAGCGGCAGCTTGGGCGGCAGGGACTAGAGATCCAAATCAGGCCTGGCTCTGTTCTTGAAGGGTTCCATTTTGGGGGCGAAGACAGACCAGGGAAGGCTACCTCACAACGGCTGGACTGTACAAGCAGCACAGTCAGGAGTGAAGGAGGGAGTCAGGAGTGATTAAACAGAGTGGGGTGACCAGGGAAGGCTCTACAGATAGAAGTGAAGTAAACGAACATGCCGGGAAAAGAGAGTTTCCACAGGATGAGCTTCCAGAGAAACAAAAAGCCTCAAGGTGTGGAGGTGGAGCTCTGAGGTCAGGCTTTGGCAGGGGTTGAATGAGCATCTGAAAAGGGAGACAGACCCTCTTTTCAGTTTTCCTAAGAAACCAGAGGCCACTCCCGATACTGTGAAGCAAAATGCTCTGAGACAGAGTATACCAAGGTACCCTAAAGTGGTAAAAAACATAAAACAGCGTGTTTGAGATCAGTATCGAGGAATCCTTGTTAACAAGTTCTTTGACCCATGACATCAGGGAACTCAACCAAAACAATGAATAAATAAACAAACAAATATGTTTGCTGTACCATTATTCATACAAACTTTTTTATTTTATTAAAAAAATTTTTTTAACATTTATTTATTTTTGAGAGAAAGAGACAGAGCATGAGGGGGAGAGGGGCAGAGAGAGAGGGAGACACAGAATCTGAAGCAGGCTCCAGGCTCTGAGCTGTCAGCACGGAGCCCGACGTGAGGCTCAAACTCACAAACCGTGAGATCGTGACCCGGGCTGAAGTCGGATGCTCAACCGACTGGGCCACCCAGGCGCCCTGGTACAGACTTTTTAAAAAAACAGAAAGTCCCACCACCCTGTGGTGACCACAGGGAAACAGATCGGGAAGCTCTATTTACATGTTTAATAAAGCGGTATGTGCAGACACTACAAATACTGAGGAAGAATATGTGAGGACGTGGAAAATGTTCATGATACACCATTAAATGAAAAAAAGAGTACCTCGTTTAGTAAGACACCATTTTCTAAACTAAACAGAATAAAAGGCCTCTCAGCTCAGCGCTGTGCCGTTCTAATGGGTTATGCATGGTGGCTGAGCTGACAGAATGGCTCTCCTCACTTTCTGTGGGGTTTTCAAATTTGCTATGTTGAAAACACATTACTTCTTTAAAGTAAGTGTGCTTTAAAGATTATTATTCCAAAGGAAATCCCCACTGAGTGGCTGCTGGCTCAGTGGGACCGCAAAAACTCTGCCCTCAAGAAACACAGAGGTAGGGGCGCCCGGGTGGCTCAGTCAGTTAAGTGTCTGACTCTTGATCTCAGCTCAGGTCTTGATCTCAGGGTCGTGAGTTCAAGCCCCACATTGGGCTCCGTGCTGGGCGTGAAGCCTACTTGAACAAAAAAGAAAAAGAAGGAAGAAGAAAGAAACACGGAGGCAAGTCCTGAAGCTCTGCCCGTCCAGGCCACCTTCCACCAGGAAGGAAGAAGGCAGGGCCTCGGGAAGCACCAACAAAGTCAAACAACACACCTAGCAACACAGGGAAGGTGCCGGCCAGGCTTGGGGAGCCTGTGAGCACCAGATGAGTCACTGCCAGGCAAGAGAAGGCTTCCAGGTGACCTAAGCCCTGCCCTGCAGGCTGAGGGAAGGTAGAGGCAAGGAGGAGGAAAGAATCCCAGAGCGCCAGAGCTGAAAGAAGCTGAGCGACTGAGCCTCTCAGCAAGTGGCCTGAGTGCAAGGGCATCTGGAAGGGGTCTTTGGAGCCACCTCTGAAGAGAGGCTATGGGCAGGGGACCAGTGGGGTCTCTGGAGCAGGACGCATCTGAGTTCCCGAGTTCCATTTCCATTGTACCACTAAGCAGCTGTGTAGCTCTCGGCTGAGTTATTTCAGATCATTCATATTTCACTTCCTTACGTGTAGATGGGAATAAAAATACCTAACATCCCAGATTGCTTGTGAGGAAGATATGAGATCATGTACACGAGGACCCAGAACTAGGAGGCACTTGCTGGCAGCCATGATCACTAAGACACTTTAATGTATTTACCAGAAAGGAAGCAAATAGGTTCATGTTAAATCAGACATCAACCCATGCTAGATTCTAATACAGACAAGCAATAGCAGTTACCAAGGTTTAAAAGAAAGAGATTAGAAGTAAAGCTTAAAAATTAAGAATTTCTATTCCCACTAGCTTTTATTCCTCCCATATTGAGAAAAATAAGAAATTATTAAAAAAAACATTTTTTTAATGCTTATTTGGTGGGGGGGGGGGGGGCACGTGCAACTGGGAGAGGAACAGAGAGAGGGAGACACAGAATCTGAAGCAGGCTCCAGGCTGAGCCCGATGCAGGGCTCGAACTCACCAACTGTGAGGTCATGACCTGAGTCAAAGTCAGAAGTTCGACTGACTGAGCCACCCAAGTGCCCAGAAATTATTTCTTATTTTTCTTTAAGTTTATTTATTTATTTGAGAGGCACAGAGAGACAAAGAGGGAGAGAGAGACTCTCAAGCAGGCTCCACACCATCAGGGGAGACCCTGACGTGGGGCTCAAACTCTCAAACTGTGAGATCATGACCTGAGCCGAAACCAAGAGCTGGAGGCTAAACCAACTGAGCCACCCGGGTGCCCTGAAGGGTACGCAATTATTAATGTTAGTAGTGAGATTCACCAATGCAGACAATGCCATCTTTTTACAGATGAGGCCAAGTGTTAATGTCATGCCCAAAGTTGGCAGAGACAGGACGTGAGGTCGGGCCACCAGTCAGGGCCCTGAAGCTGCACTCACCTCACCCCACCCCTGCTCTGCATCTGGCAGGCACCTGCTGGCACTGCCTTCCAGCACAGGGGGTCACCAGAGCTCGAGGCTGCCCGTAGTCTCTGCGGAGCACCCAACCACCTGCCTCCTGGGCGCACAGGGTCCCCGTGCTGCCTCTGGATCCTCGGAGCCAGGGCCCAGAGCAGCCTGTCTGCAGAGAAGCCTGTTACGTCTCCGGGGCGGCGCCCCACAGGGAAAAGTGCTGTCGCCTCCCACATTTTGCTACTCCCCCTAATTAGGCCGGTTTCTATTCCTTCTCTTCTCTTACTTTTTTCTACTGTCCATCCCCGATGGCCTGGGAAAACTGCAAGCGAATACATTCTTGACAGAATGAAAACTCTGCTTCTGTTCAAGTGCAGACGACAGAACTTGACATCAGAAAAGCCGGGTGCAGGCCCTGGCAGTGCTGATGAGCTATGCTCCTGCGGGTGCTCACCCGCCCCTCTCAGGCCAAGTTACTTGCCTGCGAAAGTTCCGGACCATCTCAGGAAATCACTGTGATGAGTGAGGAGATTCGAGGGTGAGGTGACTCAAGAACAGATGGGTGACAAATGCTAATTCCCCTCCCTCTCCCCTCCCATGCTCCCTGGTTTTCTGGACGGAAAACCCCAAGATTCCAAGTACAGGAAGTCACCACCCCCATCAGGGTCTGGTTCCCACAGACACAGACACCCACAGATCCATACGTGAACACGAGGAATTTACCTGCTTTCCTGGCCCCACCACAAAAACTCCCCCAAGGATGAAGCCTTCGCCTTCCAGGTTTCCAGAGAAGCCTCCGTTCCAGGCCCGGAAGAAGTTGTACCAGACACCCAGACGGACAAATCCCATGAACACCATCTTCCGCTTCTGGGGACCGTAGAACTTTTTCTGCAAGAGCGAGAAAGACAGAGCCCCTTTGAGCAGCCCGTATGCCTGCCGCCCCTCAGGAGAAAAGCTTCCCGACAGGACGTTCTCAAAGGCGCAAAGTCTGCTGCTTCACGTCCCCTCCCCGGCCCTAACACACACGCGGCTCCTGCCTGGCTGCCCAGGGAAAGACAACCCTGCCAGGGCCAGCTTCCAGCCGTGGGGTGGACCCACGCTCGACAAACTCGAGCCCGCTCTGACTCTGACCCCTTGCTAGACATGTGGAGGGCTCTTGTGTCCATAGGGTGGGAACAGTCCGACATCCTGCATGGGTGAGAGCAGAGACGGCGGAAACACGGCTGCAGTGAATTAAGGGGCTCGTGCCGGCCCTCACCTGCACGGTGCGAGAGCCCAGCAGGGCTGCGGCGATCTCCTAGGCTTCCATGCCCAGGTCACAATTCAGGAAGGGCTCAAGTATCACCCGAGAGGACACCCGTCAAGTGTCCCATCATGCTCTGCCCAGAGGGCTGGGCGAGCCTCTCTGAGTTCAGGGTGGCCGGAAGGGAGGCCAGCCTCCGGCTCCAGGCCAGACATACCCTGGGCCGATGAACTCCCCACACCTGAGCACAAGCCCCACCAGTCCATGTCCACAGACCCACAGCACACGGACCTTTTCATCCAGGAAGATTTCTCCTTTGAAGTAAGGCTGGAAGTCCTTCACTTCAGTCCTGATCTGCTCCTTCACCACTGCGTACAGGGGGACTCCCAGCTCGTCCAACTTGGGCTTCAGGGAGGACAGGTCAGCAGCCTCCTGCAGAAGACAGGGAACATCAGGGGCACAAATTCGGGTGGCTCTGCAGCCAACCGACACCCACTTCCCTACAGGCCCAGAGCGTGGCTGGCACTGAATGCAGAAGAACAAAAGCAACAATGCCCAAAACAATTGCGGCCTGTGGAGCCCAGCGTAAGCCTGTCCCAGCTGGGCACGAGGCCTCCATTGTAGGGTGTTAGGTCCCCTCCTCAGCCCAAGCTTCTGGTTTTCTCCATGGTGGGAAGGAGAGGCAAGCCTCCTGTTACAGGCGTCTAACCATGGCCTGGGGAGCAGCCGATAGCTAAGAGATTGCACCCAGACACGGTCCTCCACTTGTAGCAGCGATGCTTCTCCCCCACCTCATCTCCCAGCCCCTCCCCTGCACTAGACCAAACTAGCGCAGGGGCCTGACAGAAACTCCCCTCTGTCCGGGGGAACAGCTGTCTCCGTACCGTCGCTCAACGGGCTCCCCCGACTGCAACACCCTTCCTTTTTCTCCTGCTCCAATCACCACCCCCAGAAAGCCATCCCTGCACTGAAAGTTCTCCCTGGCTAGTGGAGCCTGGACTAGAGCCCCAGCTCTCTGTGGGTACCCAATCTCTCCTGCTTGCGGACTTCTTCAGAACTGAGTCTGTGTATATACCACCAAGTTGGGCACTGTCACTTAAGTTCCTCACTGTGTCTCATAGTTAGAAACTACATCTTCCGTTTCTTGTAGCCCTCCGTGCCCAGCACATGGCTGAAGACGCGGAAGGTACTAGGAACCAGGTGGAAAGATCCGACAGGGAAGGCAGATAGTGGGGAGAACACAGCTGAACTGGTAAGTACAGACATCCTGATTCTCACGAATTACATGCCGGATGAAGAAAGGAAACCACGTGCATCATGGAAAATCTTCACTGTTAACAACAAATCCTTCCCATTTGGTGTCAGAATTAAAGAACTAGCAGCCCACTTGCCTCCAATACAATACAAATGCGGTCCCGTATGGTGGCAACTACCTTTAATCTTTTGTTTTCTAGAACACACACACACATACACACACACACACACACACAGCTAATGAAGCAGAATTCACCATGATTTATCAAGAGCTTCAGTGAGTATTTTCTGCAAACCTTGCCCTACAGTAGAGAGGACTACAGGTCTGCTGTGGTCAAAGACCACCTGTGTGTGAGACGCAAGGGTTTACTCCTTCTTCCTGGGCCCTTTACTCCGGCGTGTCACTGCACGGAGCCAGGATGTGGAAACTCAGTCACACACCTTCCACACCTCCACTCTGGGCCACCCAAAAGAACCCAGGCTGCCACCCACCACATGTTTTCCACAAAGTGCTCTGCCAGGCGGAGACCGGGGCACAGGCAAGCAGGTGCTAACTAGGGAGGGCACTGGCTCTTGGCATCTTTTGGGTTTAACTTGCCTTGGGAAATCAAGTCACAACAGGTCTCCATGTTGGTATCTGAAGGCGTCACAGATTTTGAACCAAAAGCCCTGACTTTGGGTTTCACTTCCCATGGTAGGAGGAATGATACCCTCTCAGGATGTCCACATCCTAATCTCAGGAAGCTGTAAATCTGTTTTGTGACATGGCCAGGGGGGGTTAGGGCAGCAGATGGTTGCTAACCAGCTGATCATAAAGGAGACGATCTTGTGTTTTCTGGGTGGCCCCAACCCAGTCCTTAAAATGTGTTAGAGGAAAGCAGAGGTCAGTGTCACAGTGTCGCAATGCGAGAAAACCTGGTTGAGTCATCACTGGCTATAAAACGGAAGAAGGGGCCGGGAGCCAAGGAATGTAGATGGCCACTAGAAGCTGGGAAAGGAAAGGAAATGACTTCTCCCCTAGAGCCTCCAGAAGGAATGCAGCCCTGCTGACACCTTCATTTTGGCCCAAGGAGACCAATTTCAGAATTCTGACCTCTAGAACGGTGAGCTAATAGACTTGTGTTGTTTAAAGCCACCAAGTCTGTGATAATTTGTTACAGCAACAGGAAATGGACACGCCTCGCGCAGCAGCGTGACTTTGTCACCACCTCTGTCCCTCACTTTCTTCCTCTGGGAAACAAGCTGTATTTTCCAGGGATACCTGGAGGACACACTGAAGTGCCCCGAATGGGAGGAGATTCTGTTAGCCCAGCCACACGAGCAGGACAGAGATCGCAAGGCTGAAAGGAAAGCCTCAGGCTCGGGGAGAACAACTGGATGGAAGATGGCAACGTGGACAGGGCCACGGCCACCACGTGAGAAGCGATGCTGTCTCATTCCCAGTTCTCCCCCAGGCAGGGCCGGCCTCAGAACCTGGGTCTTCTATCACTGTGTGACCAGGACAGGTCACCAAAGCACTCTGGCCCTTGGTTTACCTACCTGTGAAGTGACAAAGCTGGGCCCTACCTCCCCACATCAAGCTTCCTCACTTACTGAGCGGGTTGACGATGGCCTCCCTGTGAAGGGCCAACCTGGAGACCACCCGCTCCGTGAGACCCAAATTTCACCAAACTCAGGCCAACCACACCCACACCGTCGGCATCACCGAAATCCCGCTGGGCTCCCCCCCATCCAGTGCCACGAGCACACAGTGAGGCGGCAGAGGAGCCATGGCTCTCAGCCGTCCACCAGGCACTCCACGTGGGCTTCCCAAGGAGAGGGGGATGGGTGGGTCCCTTCTAAAGGTGCGACCTTGTGCTTCCCACTGCAGGTGAGGGCTGACCGTGCCCGTACCAGTGAAAGTCCAGACGCCGCATTTCAATAAGCAAGTCCTGTGCTGAGCACTGGGAACACACAACTGGACCCAGTCCCCATCCCTGATTAAATGAGAAGATGGCCCCGGACACAGATTGTCCATAAAGGCTTGAGAGAGACAAAAGAGACTCAAGTGTGTTTGCCAACCCCAAGATATGGTGAATTTTCAAATGAACACAAACAGGGAATAAGTCAAAAGAAATACCTAGAGCAAATAACAGTGCTGATCGAAGGTCAGAGTGGGCCTACTGGCCCTTGGTCCTGTCTGGGAATGCACTGGTCCCGCTGGCTAGGGTGCTTTTCTCCGCACAGGGCCTCCGTGTACTCACCTCTCGACAGAGGAAGCAGCCTGGCCTGCGTACAGCCATAATCACCGCTCCGTTCTTTTCCCAGAGCTCCTTTGCTTTGAAAGTCCTTGGTTCTGAGGAGAAGAAAAGGCGCTTCAGCACCATCTCCTCCCGGCCCGGCCCCAACCGGAGGCCAGCTCATACATGGTACCAGCCCAGCAGATGACTTGGAAATACCAAACAGGAAACGGAGGAAATACTCACCCGTCAGAGGAAAATTAATACAGTGTAAGGGTCCTACTATACCCCCAAAAGGGCCCTCCCTCGTAAAAATCTGTTTGTACACTTGAACATTCCAGACAGGAACATTTCTGGAAAACTGGCAAATTCCTTTGCTGGTATCGGTAGATGCTGTCATGATCCTTTAGGACAGACACATGACCAAAACCTGAAAGAAATCTTGCACTTTGATCGAAAAACCCTAACTCTTTAAAAAAAAAAAAAAAAAAGAAAGTATTCAAAGGGATTAAGTCAACAGAAATTTCTACAAGAAAAAACATTTTTTTTTTTTTTTAAACGAAAAAACTGTTTGACCTAAATATGTTAACTGCAGTATTATTCACAGGACAGGGCAGAAGATGACCAACGAGGAAACGCCCCAGGGCAGCATGGTTCTGCGGCTCTGGCTGGTCCGTGGTCAGACAGGGCCTACATCTGGCCGTGTGGCCTCAGGCACGCGCCAGCTCCTCCCGAAACCCCGTCTCCTCATAAGTGTGGACACTCAGCGGCTACATGGAGGCTGCAGGGGGCATCAGAAGGTGGGTAGAAAAGTGCCCACCGTCGTGTCTGCTGACAGCGTTAGTGAGGGCTCAGCAAGCAGGAGCCCCTGTTGCAGGGGCTCCGAGAAACCTCAGAGGGAACCACGTGCCTCTGGGAGGTTATGTGAGGAAAAGGAGCGGGGTGGGTCTGCAGTCAAGTGAGACTGGGAAGCCTCGAGTTGAACGCAGCAAACGGGTGTCCCTCTGCAGGGCTTCTCGGCCCTCCTCCGAGGCGATCCCCCCCGCGACTATCTTCCTCACTTGCTGAGCGGGTTGACGATGGCCTCCCTGTGAAGGGCCAACCTGGAGACCACCCGCTCCGTGAGACCCAAATTTCACCAAACTCAGGCCAACTGCACCCACACCGTCAGCATCACCGAAATCCCGCTGGGCTCCCCATCCAGTGCCACGAGCACACGGTGAGGCGGCACAGGAGCCATGGCTCTCAGCTGTCCACCGGGCACTCCACGTGGGCTTCCCAAGGAGAGGGGGATGGGTGGGTCCCTTCTAAAGGTGCGACCTTGTGCTTCCCACCCCTCCATGTACTTCCCACCCCTCCATGTACGTCTGCACCGCAGGTGAGGGCTGACCGTGCCCGTATCGGTGACAGTCCAGACGCCGCATTTCAATAAGCAAGTCCTGTGCTGAGCATCAGAACAAGGAACTGCATACACAGTGTTTTTCAAATGTGTTTGACCCAGGAACTCCTTTTTTTGTGAAGCTCCAAGAGACTACAAGAGAAAGCGAAAAACACTCTTGGTAAGAAAAAGCTAAAATGTAAAATATCATGTCCAACAAGATCACAACGGCATACTGTGTACACAGGGGAAGGGATGTGCAAAAGTAAAAATGATTACTGTGTGGGGGCAATGGGATTATCGGTAAATTTTAAAATGCTTTAGAATGCTTTAGATTTTTCCTAATGTTGTTATAGTGCCTTTTCAATTAAAACAAAAACAAAACAAAACAAAAAAAAAGTGAGAGAGAGCCAGGGCCCTTTTATGAGAAAAAAATGAGGAAGCCTGCATCCCAGCACCTTGGAAAAGTACTGAGGCCAGTGGGGTCAGGGCTCACCCTTCTCCAGCGTTTTCAGGTCTATGTCCTCCAGATACTCCAGAGTCGCTCTCCGGGACTTGGGCAGAAACACGTCCGTGTTGGCCAGGAACAGTGCCAAGGCAGCCGCCCCCAGGGCCCCGGCGCCAATGGACCACATCCCCATGGTGAAGAAGCTCGGATCCTGGAGGAAAGACATTTCTGGAGATTGAGAGGAAGGAGATGTTACTGCTCTCACGTCGAGAGAGAGCTGGAACCTGCTTTCCGGACAAGCCTCCCTCGGGCAGCCAACCAGGAGGCCTGAAGCAGGGAGAGGGGTGCGGCCGTGTCAGAGTCGGGACCAGACCAGGGCTGCGGGGCACCTGCTGGCGCAAGAGCTTGGGGGATACAAGGGACACACGGAGGTCCCTGCCGCAGGGAGCTGGCTGGTGGGTCAGGCACGAGAACAGAGATAGGACAGCCCTCTAAGATGCCTCTCTGGCTGTTGCTTCTCCGAGGCCCAAGGCTGCAGCCTCCCGACTGTGTGGTGTGTCCGTGCTGGGTCCCCTGGCGGCAGCCTCCTTCCTCATTCCCCTCTGTGTCGGTGCCTGCTTTTCCCTCACAGTCTGGGAATCTGGGCTCCTATCTCCCTGGGGAGGGGCAGCCTTCTCTGCCTTGATCAAAGGATACTCAGTACACCAATCACACTGTTTTGTTATCTTATCCTTCTCCCCCTTTGGTTTGTGACTCCCTCAGAAACAGAGACCATACTATTCCTCCAGCCAGACAGTGCCCAGCAGGGCCTCACTCCTGGTAGGCAGGCGATCTCAGTGCATTTCTCTCAACGGCAAACAGCTTTATATTTCCTCCATTAAACAGATAAAACAGGCTCACGGTGAAAATAAAACAGAAATCAAAAAAGAATACATAAAACCATAGTCGGCAGCAAAGTAAATATCCCCTGAATATCTACCAGCTATGAAACGACACAGTTCAACGGAGAGGGCCACTACTGAACACCAGTGTCCAGCCTGACGTTCTCCACCCTGTGAACAGAGCTACACAGATGTCTGCTGAAGGAAGGGGAGTGGACCGAGAGAGCGGGCGTCGTGTAAGAAAGGGCATGGCGCCGGGCGTCTGCTTCAGAGGGGCTGCCAAAAGATGTCTGCGTGGGGCACGGGGCTCTGCGACTGAAATGGGAGTTCCACTCGGGTCCCGTAGAACCCAGCCTTGTTCCCAGCTCAGTCCCGGGTGCCTCCCTACGGCTTCCTCCGGGTGGGGAGCCCTGTGCTTCTGTGCGGGAGCCCCTGGAAGCAGCCCACCCCTTGGGTAGCAGGTACCCCAGCTGGCCTCCCTTCTCCTGACAACTGCTTAAAACACGTGTTCTCATGGTCCTCCTGCCAACCCAGGGTCTTATACTGGGGCCTTTCTCCCAAAGTGCCCCCATGATGTGTGCCGAGATCACCGGGTATAGACCGGTGGTGTGCGTGCGGCCCACCTAACCAAAGACTTGCGTCTCCCCTACAGTGCTTGGCTGGGGAGGAGATTTCTCCAAAGGACTGAGCGGAGTCCCAGAAATCCACATGCCACCGCCCAGGGGCAGGCTCTGAGGGGTCCACTGCCATGAGGTGGGGTTGGGAGTCATTTGGTGGTGATGACTGGGAAGACAGGGTAGGCCAGGCTTGTGTTAGGCCAATGTGAAAAGTTCAGATTTGAGTTAAAAAACAAAAGGGAACTTCCAGGCAGGGGGTGGGGGTGGAGGGTGGCGAGGAGGAATGACCAAATGAAAACAGCATTTCCGAAAGAGGAATTTGGAAGGGGAAAAAGAAGGGAGGCTGGTGTGTGTGCTGGGGGAGGGAGGCTGCTGAGGCACCTCTCTCACGAGGGACAGGAGCCCAGAGAGAGGAGTTTCTTCCCGCTTCACCACCCACTGTGGCCCCCTGGCTGGAAGCACTGGCGTCACACTGCAATGCAGACCTCACCCCTTAGTTCAGAACTAAGGAGTCATCAAGCGCATTTTCATCAGACCAGGCAGTGTTCACATGCACATGAAAGTTTGAGGAGCACTGTCTCAGAGCAAAGAACTCATGGTTTTGCACTTGGTTGGCAGGAAGCCATGGAATAAAGAACAGTGACAAGGGCAGGCTGGCTTGGGAGAGCTGCGCCCTCTGGTCTCTCAGCTCACTGTGGGGGACAGAGGGGCTCACCGGTGAGCACAAGTCCATGCCTCTGCCTGGAATGTCCTCCCTCATCTGTTCTGCCCCTCAGGACTTGGACGCCTCCTCAAGAAGGCTTCCTGGATGCTCTGCCTACCCTGGCTGCCACCCGCAAGAGATGCTCGGTCCCCCTCACCTCGCCTCTGTGACACTTCCGATGTGCTCCACCCAAGATATGGACCTACATACCTTTGACTCTGTCCCTCAGCTTGTGTCTGAAATGCCATGCCCAGCACGGTGCCTGCTTGGTACACAGCGGGCTCTCCATAATTGTGCGCTCGGATGAACTCAACGGAACCAAATGATGACGACAGCGACTTATGGAAAACCCAAGTTCTTGGGCCAAGCAGGAAAGAACCTTCCACAGGCCGGCTTCCAATTCTTTTATGAAGCAAAGTTACACATTACTCGATTATAATTCGCAGAACAATTGGGGGAATTCACGGAACAACCACAGCTCTCGCCTGCCTGCTGTAAACAGGAGACTCCCCAGAGCCTGGAACAATTTCTGCACCTTTACGTGCATCCCAAACATCCCTGGATTTCTGACATATGTGGATGACTCAGGAGCATATGGCATGGTTTCTGATCACAGATCTGATACCAGCTCTGAACAGTTCACAACCACCAGCTTACATCCCCCCTACAAGGGACTCGCTTCAACTCTTGAAACACTTCAGTGCACTGCAGGAAGTCCAGGGATCCTTACATTCAGCTCTACCTCCCCCCAACACACCCCTGCTGCTCTTAGAGGCCAACGGGCTCCATCTTCCCACCCACAGCCAGTCAGCCTGTTTGCTTGCGACTGCAAGGGAACAGGACTCAATGAGACTCAACATCTATTTCCAAACATTTATTCAGCACCGACCTATTTGATAAATGGCAATTTGGGAGGACACACAACTAAAAGATACCCAGTCCTCGAGGACACACAGGCCTAGCACACAGATAACAGAAATTCAAGCGGCAAGGTGAGGCAGCTTGGGCAAGGTGTGAACATGAAGCGATGGGGAATGAAAGCCAGCTCCATCCGATCTGGGAAGCCAGAGAAGCACCCAGAAGGAAGTGGCTTTGGAGCTGGCGTAGGACTCGGGGCGGGGGGGCAGGATGGAAGGGCTGGGCCCCGTCTGGGCTGAATAAGCCTGGGAGAGACCAGGCAGGCTAGCGGTGGCTATCAGTGCTCAAGGCACACCAAGAAGGCAAACTTCCATGAACCAAAGGCCCCCGACCCCCCTACCTCCAGTTCAAGAGCTGGAATACAAGATGTGGGATTCAAAACCCCCAGGAGTATGGTTTACCACCCCACCCCCACCTCAGGCCCCCACCCAGGAAGTCTGAGCAGAGAACCGTCCCTTTGAGGAGCATGGACCTCACTCTCAGGCCTTCCAGCACTAAGATGTGAGAGCAGCAGTAACTCCAGAGGGGAGTCAGGCCTCTCCACGAACATCCGCCCCCAGTGGGCCTCTGGCAGCAGGCTCTTCTGCGAGGGGGGGGTGGGCGGTGGGGGGAGGGGGTTGTGCTGGAGGAAGGGGTGAAAATTGGCTCCTGGAAACACCTAGAGAATGTGCAGGCCCAGCCCCTCGGCCAAGCCCCCCTGGGCTACAAAGCAATCCCCATCCCGGCACGTCTTGGAGCAGGTAGCACTCCAACTCTCTGCTGAGCGAGATTGACTGGGAATCCTGAACCACAGCGATTCCCACGACAAAAAGAGGGGAGGGGGCAGGGGACCTTACTCTCCAAACAGAACAAAGCATTTTCACATGGGCCTCCAAGGCCAGTGCGAGAGATGGGGAAGCCCGTAAACCAGCCTTTATTTAGTGTCATTTGACACTCATGGCCTAATTCCACTCACTCAACAGTCTTATGGCTGACAACACTGAATTCAGAGAAGCTCAGGACACTCTGCAGTGTCACAGAGCCGGCAGGCAGCAGTACTGGGACCTGGACCCAGACCACTGGGTCTCTCGAGCTGCGTACGCTGCCTCCCCACACATTCATTTGTGGGTTTCTGAGGGTCAAGGGGCAGGATCCCCTTTGTCTTAAAGAGCATTAAAAAAGATGGACTTTTTTGTTTCAGTCCTCAAATGCAGCCAAACCATTAAAGGAAATTTACCACATGACAGATGTCCCTTCTCTGTCCTCCCCGTCCTACCCCCCCCCCCCCCCCTCCATTAAGGGAAAGGTCAGTTTCCCTAAGAGGTAATAGCAAGGTTGTTTACGGAAGCCAGCCCCAACCTGCCCCAGCCCCCACCTGCCCCGGCTTCAGTACTTCTCTCCCACTGCGGGACTTATCTCGTCCAGTCCTCTCCCAAAGAAGAAGGTGAAGAGTGATAAGCCCACAGACAAACAACAGCTGTGGCAGCCCAGAGCAGCAGCTCTGGTGAGGGAAAGAGCACGGTGGTCAGGGGACAAGACCCAGCTGGGCTCCCGAGGCCAAACTGGGGCGATCCCTCCCTCGGCCCCATTTTCCTTATCCCAAAATGAGGTGGGGGGTGGTTTGCCAAGGTGGGTGCTGAGGCTCCTTAAAGCACTCCAGTGTCATCATGTGGGTCTATCAAAAACAGCTCACTTTGGAGCCTGCACATATCTTGGGTCTGTATCAGAACTCTATCCCCTGCTCCCCCATTTCAGCTTCTAGAGTGTTTCTTCCCTGCAGCCCAGGACTCCACAAGCCACTCCCTGCCCATGGCCCCTTCTCCCCAGCCTCCGTGGTGCAAACCTGGGAGCGGGGCACTCACCATCTGCAGCTTGCACACTCCAGGCTCCTGCCGACAAAGAGGCTGACCCAGCAGGAGCAGGCAGGAATCAGGCTGCAGGGGAGGGCCGGAGGCGGGGCTCTGGAGTCCCGCCTATGGCCCCAAGCTCGCTCACTCACACGACAGACAGGACCAGGCCACCCAGAAACCCTGGGGCTCTTTCAGCTGTTAATACTCAATCTCCAGAAAACATCATGGAGAGCTGCCAAGGCCCCCAGCCCTTCAAATAGCTGAACAAACTTTGAGTCACTTGCAGTCATGCAGACCGTAACATTTACAAAGTGCCAGCAGACCCTCCCTGCTATCCGGTGCAGACTAAGGAGGTGAAGCCCTCAACGGGGCCCATGCCTCACACTAACTGAAATCCAAGGGAGACGTCCCCTTTTCCACTCGCCCCGTTCTTCACCCTACACCCAGGCGGTCAGCCGGCACCACTGAGGCGCCTCACTAGCTATCTGTCCTCTAGGCCTCCTAGACTTCCCTTCTTGTTCCTCTGCGTAGGTGACTCCTCTCACCCCCACCTGTTCCCGGGCAACCTCACCTACTCCCAGCGCTTCACCCCCGCCCCTTGGTATTGACTTCCAGGTTCCTATTACTGTTCCCAACTTAAAGTTTGCACTTGGGGGTTCCGTAGGTCATCTCTGTTATACCACATACAAAACTGACATCCACTACAGTCCGTTTTTCTTCTGGAGTTCCCTAGCTCAGTGAATGACAGGCACCCAGCCGACTGCTCAAGCCAGAAGCTGAGAGCCACACTCATTCTCCCTTGTCACCCGCATCTAATCTGGCCTGTGCAACGTGTCTGACGCTCATCCTCTCCTCAGCCTCTCTGTGCTCAGGACCCTGTTACCCTGTGCTGGCCTCCCTCAGTAACCACAGCACAGAACAGGCTTGGCTTGAGCTAGGTCCCCTACCACTTCCTCTCCATGCTGCAACCAGAGTGACTGTAAAACACCTTGACCTGCTCGCATCCCTGCCTTGCTTCTGGGCTCTCACAACTCCTCGGCACAGCTGACGGGACCCTTCACAGCTTAGCTGCGGTCCACCATGCTGACCACTCCCTGTGCAAGAACGGTAACATGTCTTGTTAGGCCTCCAAACTGTGGCTTGTGTCGTTTCCTTTGCCCAGAATGACCCTCCCCCGCCCCGTGCCAACTATGTAAAGGCCCAGCACAAATAACACTCTGTCCCAAAGCATCTTCCTGAATGCCCCCACAATCAACTGTTCCCTCACCTCTGACTATATAGCATGCATGCTCGTGGAGACACATACAGACCTTTGCACACTGCACAAGCAAACGGACTTAGTGTATTTTAGCTATTGGCATGTCTGTTTACACAATATGCTGGAGCAATCTGAGGGCAGGGCTGTTGTCTCATTCACTCCCACATCCCCGACATTTAACACAATTCCTGGTAATCAGTAGGTATTCAACGTCTAACGAAATTATCTGAACGCTATTTTTTAAATTCCACGTTGGAACTGATTTGGAGTCACCCAATTTCAGCTCCGTACCAGAAAGTAATTTTGGACAGGGCTGGCTTGACCTTAAATAAAACACTCAAGCCTGGGGTTTAGGTGATCTTAGGTTGGGTCATAGTTCTGCCGCTCGACGGCAAGACGATCTGACGTAAGCTGTAAAGACTCTGTGTACAGACAGAGGAAGGAACTAGCAAATCTATGAGGTTGCCCCAGTTCGGATGTCCAAAGACGTGAAAGTAACCGCACAGTTGCAACTCCAGAGCTCTGATGTCCAGAAAGCCATGGAGGCACCTGCTGCTACCGCTCTCCTGCTGGGCGTGCACATTCTCACTCTCTGCTTCCCCAGGCCTAATTCCTGCCTGTTCAAGGAGCCGCCTCTGGGCAGGAACTGATAAAGTCTTCATAAAACAAAGTATCAGCATTGGGTGGGATAATTCATGCCTGAAACAAGTAGAGACAACATATTCTATATGGAGAGGGTACACCTGCCCAGCCCAGCCCCACCCAGGGAATCCTTCCTCCCCAGAATGAGCTGGTCTGAGATAGGCCAGAAAGGGCTGCTGAGGAAGACAAAGGAAACAGAGTGCACATGGGTCTCCTTGCCTCCAGCCCTCAGTGAACGAGGCTGGAAAGGATGCTTCATCTTCCTTCTTTGCTCTCCCGTCCCCTCTCCTTCCCTTAGAGCTCTGGTTCAGCCCCTCCTTCACTGAGCAAATGAGGAAACTAAGGCCCAGAGAAGGGGCTAGCTAGTCTGACGTCACATGGGGGAGGGCTAGTCAGTGGCTGTGCTGGGTCTGGGTCTTCCAACTCCCAATCCATGATTATTTATCCTCCATTGGACACCCCTGCAAAGCTGGAACAGTGGAGTGTGGGGAGGGGGGTCAGGGTTCAGGAAGGCAGGGGAGCGGTAAGGTTCCTGAATCTGCTTGCTGGCCTGAAGAAGGCTGAAAGCCAAACTGCAACGGAACAGGGCCCGGGAAATCTGTGGCTAGAGAGTATACCTAAATTTCCCAGGCCCAGTGCTTTGCAAGCAGCTTATAATCCAAAGCCAAATGTTTCTGTAAGGGTCACACGGCTCATTCTCAGCCGAGTGGCCACTGTGCACCTCTCCTCCCCACAGTAACAAGGTCCTGTCAATTCTGGATGACACAGGCACAGGCTTGAAAATACCAGTTTAGCAGCCTGGTGACATGGGTACCGCAGGGCCCCATGAGCAGTAGGGGATGCGCTCCCACCCACCCTTGTCATCAAGGACCACGGACCTAGCCACCTGCAGTGAGCTCTCGCCTACCTGCCTCAGTCTCCAACTTCCCGCTGGGCTCCTCGGGGTGACTGTCTGCCCAGCTGTGGCCCAGGCGTCCTCGCAGGTGCCAGAGTCAGGAAGTTCTGAATAGATGCTGAAAGCAGAAGAAGAGGATAAAATCAGTTACTGGGAAACTTTGAGACAAAGACAAATCCTCTAATCAGTGACTGAAGCTACAGAGGTGCCCCCAAACGTGTGGCCATTCTGCCCCTTGCTTGCACGGCCCCCTAACTGGGCTCAGGACACCAGCTCTATCAAGTCATACAGGGGTGGCTGGGAGGGCAAGGACAATACCACAAAAGACCCTGGGCTTTTGGACAAAAATCCTGGGTTTTCATTCTTTGAGAGGTCACCTTGTCCCTCAGCATCTCTTTCCTAAAAACAAGGGAACTTTTAAAGAGTTATCAGGAAGAACACACACACACACACACACACACACACACACACACACACACACACATCTACACAATAAAGTACCGCAGAATTTAAGGTATTATCTTTCTCTTCTTTGCAAGGCTCAGATTCACTTGGGTCTGAGGGCAGATCATTTGAAGAACACAAAACACTGAAGGACTTCTCCAGCTGTGCTGCCCCAGCTGTGTCAGTACAGACCTGCCTCCGGGGCAAAGTTCTAGGTCTGGAGGGAAACCTGGTGTGTCTCAGGCCCCTTTGGCCTAACTGCCCACTCTACAGTGCTGTGCCCCTTCTGCAGCCTGTCTGCACTAACAGCACCAGAGAAGGCAAAGGGCACTGTCCATGTGTTACTGTCCTGTGTCAGAGGCCACTGAAATCAGAGATGAGGCTGGGTCCCTCAGCCTCTGGACAGTTATTGCCACACAAGCCTCAGCAGAGCGAGACCTGGAGCGTCTCAGCTCAACATTTCACAATGAGACAAGAACTCAGCTTGCAGTTTCAAGATCCAGAATTCTAGTCCTAACCAAATTTTCTGAGAACCAATTAAGGGACACAAGCTGATAAGACAATCATCAGAAATGTCTTCTGTACCCCTAGGGAACAATGCATAAGATCTCAATGAAAGGGCATACCCTTAAACAGGCAGGGGATATGGGAAGAGCCACACCAAGAGGAACTGAAATCTAAATCAAATTCCTACAGGTTGGAGAACCTGAACAAGGCATTGTTTTCGCAACAATAAAACGGGAATGATTCCCGAATTACCTTCTACAGGGTTGTAAGAATCCAAAGATTAAATGTCCGGATGGCGCTTTGTAAGCTATCTTACAAAGAGTGACGTACATATGATGTATAACTCTTACTCATTTCTAGATTAGTCAATCATCGCCCCAAAAATGTTGTTTGTACATGAACGAAATGGAGGGCTTCCGATGACTGGGTATGTTCCAAGGAGTCAGGGTTTGCACTCTAGATCCCCATTCTCGGGCTCCAGGACTGGGCTGGAGCAGAAGCATGCAAACTAGCATCCAAGCTGGCTCCTGGACAATGCTTTTCAAAATAAATCCTAAGCGATTCTTTTCTTTTTTTTTTTTTTAAATCATCTGCCAAGCTCAAAGGAAAATAGATTAAAATAAACAAAACTGAAGTCTAGGTAATTGAGCTGCAGGAACATCATTCATAAGGAAAAAAGGCCCAGAGTCCGCTGGGTCTGAACCCCAATCCAGCTTCTGGACTCCCAGGGGGGTGGTCCCTCCCCAGAGCCCTCGTCAGGCTGGACCTTAACCATCTTTTCTCCATCTCCTTCACCTCCCCACCCCTGCAACAATCTCGAGACTGTCAGATCGGTGCCTTGTTGGTCTTTTCATTCCTAGACTTCAGCACAGGGATCTTAAATGTACACTTTGGACTCTTTCCAACTCTGTCAGGAGTGTGTAACCTTTAGGGGAAGGAGAGAGCAGGTGTCTCTGAGATTCTGAAGAAAACCGTGGCCCCATAAAACACACGACCCTATGAAAGCACACACCCTAAGGCAAGGGCAGAGCCGGGGTCGCTCACCTGCAGCTTTTCCGCCCCCTACCCCCGGACAGCCCCCAGGTCCGCCCCCCGCGGGGCAAGAGCGCCAGGGCACAGTCCTTTTTTTCAGGTCTCTGTCCCAACAATTCAGGCAGGTCGGTGTCATCAGCCTTACTCCAAGCCAGGGGCTGGGAAGGGGGTGGGGGAGTCTGCCAGTCAGACCAGCGCCAGTCCTGGCCCCAGGTCTTCGGACCTCCAACACGCGGTTTTTCCGCTGACCGCTGAAACCGGGCCGGGCGGGAACAGCATCCGTCGCGGGAGCGGGTGGGGGTGGGGGCTGCCTGGGCCCGGCAGGTGCGGCCGCGCTCGGCCGGCTCGGCGGGAGCTTCCCGCGGACTCTGGGGCCGCCCGAGGGGCAGGCCTAATACAGCCGGTGTCTGATCCACCCGCGCGCCGCCGACCGAGCCTCGCTTCCCCGGCCCTGCCTCAGTTTCCTCACCTGCGCCGTGGCGGGGCCTGCCCCTGCGGATGTCACGTGCGCGAGTGCAGCTCGCACCACATTCCCCCGCCCACCTGCTCCCAGGCCCGACGCCTGGAAGCTGGCGGGCCGAGCCCTCCCCCGCCCAGGCGTCCGAGCGTTGGCCCCCGCGCCTGCGCTCCTCGGCGCCTGCGCCGCCTCCCTCTCCCACGTGACCAGCCCTGCTCCTCTGGGAGGAGCACGGGCTCCGCCTCTCCTACGGAGCCCCGCCCCCTGTGGGCGGAGCCCCGGCAATGCAGTGGTCCCATCTCTTAAGGCTCTGGCGATGCCCAACACCGTCGAGCCCCGCCCGCGCGGAGCTCACCTTTGACTCTGTGCGGCTTTCAGGCCGCTCCTTCTCGGTCCCTTGTCACCGCGCTAGCCTAGTTCAATTCTTCGCGAGTGGTGACCCTTGACGCCCGACTCCTTAGGAGCACTGCCTGGAGCAAAGGGAGGCTCTGGACTGCCTTAGTTGGATCTGAAAGCACCTGCCCTGTAGCCGAGGACCGAGGACACCTTTCAGCTCAGCGAGTTTTTGAGCAGTTTTTTAAATGAACTTTTTGTTTCCCTTTTGGTATAGGGTTGAGCAATCTCTACGATTTACAATGCGTGTCCCTTCACGCTTTAGGACAAATTCAGCACTGCTAGCCTCTGACCCCGCGGGGCACACATTCTCTTTCACCTCACAATCCCAGCCATTGGACACAGGATAGCGAGGGGTGGAGTGTGGCCTGCGCACTGGCTCCTGGGATGTTGCCCGGCTCCTCACCGAGTCTGAGTCACATGGTCTAGTTGGGCCCACACTTACTCATCCATTCATTCACTCATTCTTTTACTCATATATTGTGTCCACGCTGTTTTATGAAAGTGTGGTTGGGAGAACACCTTTTTAGAGACAGGAAGAACTGACTCACAATACACTTAAAATATCACCGGGACAAAGGGGTGATGGGTCACAGGGCAGTGTGCAATGGAGCCGCAAAGCAGGGCTGCCACGCCCACCTGTCAGAGGTGGCCATCTGCCTGCAGTAACCACCCCAGGTCACCTGGGAACCATCTATCGGGGTACAAAGTCCAAAAGCTTTCCTGATTTACCTCCCTGATCTCGCACTGTCTCCAGGTTCTTTGTAAACTTATGGACCTATAGAGTCTATTCAAGAGACCTCTCCTTAACCAGACTGTGAGTTATTTTACTCAACCATGGGACCCAGAGTCTGGCCGAGGGCCGGCACCAAGACATGCCTGGGAAGCATTTTGAAAAAGAGGATGTTTCTGGATTGGGGGTGAGAAGGATCAGTTTGCGTGATCGTGCAGGCTTCTTGCAGGAGTAGGCAGGTATTTGATCTGATTTCAAGGCCCAGAAATACTTGGTATAATTTGTTACAATATGGGTAGAGTCATAAGAAGGCAGTTTACCGCCCCTCCCCCCCCAGAGGAACTTTCTCACTCCTGCCTCATTCCTCCTTACCCTATGGGGAGGGGGGGAGAAGGAGGCTCATTTTCTCCATCCTGAAATTGGATGTTTGATTAACAGGAAGGCTGCAAGAAAGAAGGGCCACTTAAACAAAACAGGAAGACATTTCCTTTGGGTATGGGTCCCCAGAGACTGGCCATTAATGACAGAACCATTCAGGGGTCAGGGGTCACAGAATCCTGAGGTGGGAGGCTCCCTGAGGTCTCAGCTGAGATATAGTTACCAAATGCAAAAAACCATGATTGTATTTACACTTCTGTAACATTCCAAAGCTCTGAACTTCAAAAGTCGGGCTAGATCTGATAGCTAATTAACACACTCCTCACACTCCCAATTTGTCCAAGAAAGCACAGGCTGAACTCATTAAAAAGCAGTCATCAGACCAGAAGAATAAGCTATGGGCAAGTAGGCACAGGAAAGAAAAACTTATAAAGCTCAAGGATTAAAAACAAAAACATGAATCTGTCAAGTTTTAAGGAGAAAAGTAACTCTAGCTTTGTAAAGACCATGAAATAACCTAGATTTTGAATTGAAGCAGGTAGAAATTAAGGTCGACTAGGAGCTTTGTGATAACTTCTGTAACTTATGTATGTTATCCTCTTGACAGGGGCTAGGAAAGTGTTTTCTCCTTCCTGATCTCATAGGCCAGGCAGAAAACATTGCTAGCAGGAGGCAGATGTGGATAAAGACTTGGGATTCTTACAGCATCACAACTACTTCTACATTCAGCTAGCTTCATCTGTTCTCTCAGCAGTGATCCATGCTTGCGGTATAACACAATTTTTAAAGTTGATTGGTCCTGCAGTGTGTCTGGGCTCAGTGAGAACAGCTTGCGAAGCAGGTAGCATTAAAGTGAAAATAAAGCAAAAATGGGTGCTTGACTTCATTGACTTTCTCAGGCCTAAATTCCCATTCTGTGAATACGTGAAAGTCTGATCAAGATCTGGAAATGTATGAACCACATAAATGTGCACGTATCAGCTACAAATATCTTTTTACTTGCCAATATCCCTGAATTCCACTCTTCCTCATTTCGAAAAAGTATCTAAAGATGCCCTACTTCCCCAGTGTGCTGCACAGCAAAGCCTTTAGGATCTTCTACATGAAGTCCTCAAGAGACATAAACAATGGCTTAACAGGTGAATTGGTGACTGACTAGGGGCTGAATGGTGGGATCATTCCATTCCCAGGTTGGGGAAGTAAGACTGCCTCACACATCATCATTCGGTCTATCCTTTGACATTTAATGAGACTTCATTTGGCTAGGCAACTTTAGTTTGCAAGAAACAGAAAACTCAGGGGTGCCTGGGTGGCTCAATCGGTTAAGCATCTGATTTTGGCTCAGGTCATGATCTCACAGTTCATGAGTTCGAGCCCCATGTTGGGCTCTGTGCTGACAGCTTGGAGCCTGGAGCTTGCTTCACGTTCTGTGTCTCCCTCTCTCTCTGCCCCTACCCGGCTCTCTCTCTCTGTCTCCCCCACCTCAAAAGTAAATAAACATTAAAAAAAAGAAAATCCAACTCAAACTGACTTGAGGTGATCTTGGGTTCCATAATGACACCAATGATCCAGGTTCTTTTGCTTCTCTGCTTTGTTATCCATGTGTTGGCTTCATGTTAAGGCTGGTTCCTCTTGTGGTCATAGGATGCCCACAAGATCCAGTATGGAGAGAGGGCAGTTAGACCCAGGAGTGAACAAAGCCCAGAGCCTCACTCTGGTTGGCCAATCACTGTGGCCAGGGTACTCCTGAACTCTGATTGGTCTAAGTCTGGGTCTCGTAAATGATTGTGGGCACACTTAACAGGGAAAATAGAAGTGAAATAAAGGTATTAAGGTGTTCCTAAGACAGCATCATATACAAAGTCTTACTCTTCTCTATCATTTTTGGACTCAGAATCACTGATGTTTGCGTTTGTCCCACAATATTATCATTTGGCTGTTAGGAACACTGGTGATGGGACGTTTCTAAAAGAGTGCTCCACTATTGTCTTCTGCTCAAAGTCGGCAAGAAGTTTTGATTAATAGATGTTTGACATCTTAATGATAGTCTTTCAAAACACATTAATTGATGACACCACCTCTCATTGCTTTGGAATTTATCTATTTCAAAAGATTTGGCAAATTTTCCATTGCTTTACAATCCTTTTGCATGTATCTTGGTAGCAAAACATAACAGATTTTTACTTGGGGGGGGGGGGGTGGGGGTGGGGACAGCTTTCTTTCTTAGTTTTATAAACCTCTTCATTGTTGCTTTGCAAGAAAATCGGAAATGAAGTCATTTCTCTGATGACAAATTTCCTTTACTAATATCGAATTTATGTTCTACTGCTGTTCATATGAATTTCTGCATTCACAATAACTTTTTCATTTCAGTGCCAAATCATAATGTAATCTTTTAGAAGATTTTTATACAGCAATTAAATTCAACTCATGGGGCATAAACAATGTGCATTTGTAACTGAATGCAACTTTGCTAATACAGAATTCAAATTTTGTAAGGAAACATAAGTGTCTGAGAGCAGTTATGAAAGATAGAAAGAACAATGAGGCAAAATTTGCCTTACCAAATATCAAAATATACCATAAAGTCACTGTAATTCAAATTAATATGGTTTTGTCTAAAAACTCTGCTTTATCTATAGTTATAGCCAATTTCTCAATCCTGGTATGAATTTCCTTCTCCCTTTTTTTTGCTGGAATTTAAAAATTGGTAGAACCAGATAGTAACAAGGGGATTTAGGGTAGGGAGACTGAGATTTGTCGCATGGGCAGCCAATCAAGTTCACATGATTGAGTCCCAACAAAGAGTCTGAACACCAACGCCGGGGGGGGGGGGGGGGGCGGCGTCCGTTGCCAATACTCTGCGTATATTGTCACCCATCACCCAGTAACACTGTTCATGACTCCACAGTGGGCATCTGGAAGGTCCGAGTCTGATACTTTCTTAAACTCTGCCCTCTGAATCTCTTTTTTAGGCTAATTTTACTGTGTATCCTTTCCCAGTTAAAGACTATAACCATGAACGTAAAAGCTTCCAATGAGTTCTGTGAGTTCCTCTAGCGAATTGCCAAACCCAAGTGTGGTCTCAGGGGCTCTGAACTTGCAGTTGGTGTCAGAAGTCAAGGTCACTTGTGGATTGTGCTCTCTCAAACTCACCGTCCTTGATAGGTTTGGGGGCATCTGGGTTATGCTGGCAGTCAAGAACTTTTCTATTGATTCTGTTTATTAAATTATATTTTTCTGAAACATTGCTCATTTCAACTAAGTGTTTTTTAAGTTTATTTATGTTGAGAGAGAGAGAGCGAGAGAGCGAGAAAGAGTGAGAGCAGGGGAGGGGCAGAGAAAGAGGGAGAATCTCAAGCAGTGTCCACCATGTCAGCACAGAGCCCACATGGGGCTCGAACTCACAAACCCGTGAGATCATGACCTGAGCCAAAATCAGGAGTCGGACGTTCAACCGACTGAGTCACCCAGGCACCCCATCAACTAAGTTTTTTTTTTTAATTTTTAAAATGTTTATTCATTTTTGAGAGACAGAGCATGAGGGAAGGGCATGAGAGAGGGAGACACAGGATCCGAAGCAGGCTCCAGGCTCCGAGCTGGCAGCACAGAGCCCGATGCGGGCGGGGCTCAAACCCACA